AAAAAAAATAGATAATAAGAGAAAACAAAAAACATTAAATTTTAATTAAAAATATTTACAATATCAACAATTGGAGTTGTTGGTTTCCAAGATTCTGATGCATTTAATAGATCAACACATATTTTACCTTAAATAAAATATTTTTCATAAATACAACAACTATCTGTTATTAACTGTTGTTTTTATATTTACCATCTTTATCAACATTTGGGTGGTAGATCGGAGTTAAAAATTTAACTTCAGGTGGTTTAAATGGAAAATCTGTGGGAATTTTAATTTCAAGTTGAAATGAGCCTTGTGAATAGGGAGGACTTTTTGGTAATATACGACCTATTAAAACAATTGGTGTGTCCGATGCACGTGCTTCATCATCTGGTGCTTTTTCAAGAATAAATGATTGTGGCATCTCTCTAAGTTTTTTAACCTCAATCATAATACGTCTCATTTGACCTGCCATATTTTTTGGCTGTTATATGAAGATAAAAATCAAATAAAACAGTTGATACTGACGAGCAGTCAATTAAGAGAAGATTTTACAATCTAAAATGAAACAAAGATTATCAAATGAAAAAAAGAAAGAATTAAAAACATCAGTTTGAATTATTAATAACTGTAAAATAGTTGTCACTTAATTTTTCCAGTAAAATCATTCAAAAATATGAAAAATTAAATATCTCAACAAAGAAAAACATATGAAAATGAGTAATATGAATAATAATCGTAAATCGAGAAGTTTCCTTTCCTGATGTTTATAAAATGCAGAATTCGATAAAAATATAATAAAAAAGAACAAAATAAATAAACAGTAAAAGAAGAAAAACGTTATTGTGTTTTGGTCATGATTATGAAGCCTTTTAAAAAGAGAGTTGTACTCAAACATATTTTAGAATGCGCGTGATAAACTAAAACGTTTTTTAAATACGGATTATAGATATAGAAACATTTTTTAAAGCATGTAGAATGACATATGTTACTAAAACAAGTCGAGTACCACATTATTTGCGTTCGATAGACAGATAGAATATAGCATATAGTGTTCTTTCAACGTAAGAATCTCTATTATAGAAATGTGAAGATAATTGCTTCAGTATGTGTTGAAAAGAAACCATTCATTAATAAAGATTAAACTATGTATTTACTCAATACTGGCGCGAATAACGCATCAAAAATCAAAAGTTTTTTCTCAACAGAGTTACCACATGTTTATCACGCGAGAGACAGTCCTATATTTGGAGATTTGTCCTCCGTAAAAAACCACCTCTCTGAGTACTGACTTGAAAAATTTTTCTAAAATGATGGACATAGAAGATGTCCCTCATTGTAGATTAATTTGTTCCACATTGGAATTGTTACAGTTGACATTCTGTTTTTCAATGTGAGAATAAAATGTATTATATATTTAAAAATGTACAAACAATTCGATTAGTAACACAATTTAATGTTTTGTATAATTGCGATTCAATGTAATGATTTGAGTAATGATGAGTTTCAACAACCTTTACCACTAGAGATACACTTTCTATTCCAAACAGACGCGTTTATATAATCTGCGTGAATCAAGAAGTGTCACTTTCACAAAGCATTGTATACCAAAGAAAACATAAATTTGTAGTATTCAACTTCGAAAGTCGGTCATATACTTACTGGTGAAGTAAAATACAATCGTAGTTTTCACGGCAGAGGAAGGAATCAATTGTAGACCATGTGAAGTGCATAAAGAACTTGTTATTAAGAATGATGCGTTGCTGACTATTTAAAAAACAGGTAGAAACTCTAACAACATCGTGCTTCACAAAAAATCTTGAGACAAACTTAAGTTAGATGTCGAACTTTAGGCTAATTAACCAAAGAAAATCTAGGTTAAAGTTAACGAAATATAAGAGATCCTTTAAATTGGCATAAAGCCAACGAAATAATAACGCTAAACATATAGAGATAGGATGTTTCACTTAAGCTTTTGATCTTACAATTTTAATGAATTACACCCTTGATTCTCATGTTATGTTATTTAGCTTAAAAATATCCGTATTTCTTTTCTTACCGGTGTATTTTACTGATCAAAATGCATGAGAGATAAAAGAAAAATACATACTGTAACGTTTATTAACTTGGCATTCCATTTTTCTTCATTTGCAATTCTAACGCGCATTACTAACGTTATTTTACATGAAAATTTTTTTACATTGTCTTTGTTGTAAAGAGAAAGAAAATACACCTGAAACGTGACTCTTTCAAATAATGGTGCAATATTTAACTTCTAGTGGTACACTGTGGAAAAAAAGACATTTATAAATCAACTATGTAAAAGGAAATGCAGTGACAAATACAAATAATTTTGACTGTTTTTTGACTCAGTAAATATGCAGCTATAAAATGAAAAACACAATAGTGAAAGACTATTACTGCAATCATTCAGACATATGAAGACGTAGAGTACAAGTTAGACTAAAGTCAAATTTCATAATTTCAAATGTGTTAAATGAAGCAACACGTTTACTCCATATTATTCACGTATAACTTAAATAAACACGCTTCTGTGATTTAATTTTATTGTAAAAATCTATACAGAAGTGTCAGCTTAGACCTAGAAAAGACACCGTATCAAATCTATCCTACAAAAATGTTTCTTACGTGTTTGATATTTTTCTTTTCAGGGAAAAAGCTACTCTACTTGTTAAAAAAGATGATATGTAATACCTTCGTGTACTCTTGTACAATATTGTATATAACAGCTTTCAATCATTACGTTTCATTTCGATACCCTTAACTCTACGCTAACAAACTTTTTTTGTTGAACAAATTCGCTTGTCACGACGTGAGCGTAAAAAATGGCCATTCTAAATTTGTTTTCTACGAAAGAAATATATGTGCCCAAAATTAACCGTGTCTACTATTGTTTTTCTCATCTATTAGAAAAAATAACCTTCAATAAGAATGTAAGGGCAGCTCAACTCACCTTATGAGATCTAAATGAGGCGTTAGTAAGTGTTTGTACGAATATATGTAGCTTCTACAACCAACTTTTCTTTTTTCTTCCTTGTTGTTGTTGTTGTTGCGATTTGCAATGTCAATAACAAAGTGCACCGATGATATGAACTTGAATATGTATGCTGTTTTTAGTAAGAAAATACAGGAAAATACAGTGACAAACTGTCAAGGAATACTTTACTTAAGTTTCTGAATCAAGTACTGATACATCAGGAGAGAAAGTAAGACCCAAGGCGCCACGAGTAAACACAATTTTTTGTTCTTATTACGTCGATTGTAACGATTTCTCCTAGCGTATCGTACATTATTATTATTATTTCTTTTCTGCGTTAACCAATCATTAAAGAGTCATCCATACTGATGGATATTAATATGATGTATTTTACTAGAGGCTGTTTTTGACCAATAGAAAAAAAACAGATTGTAAAAGAGATACAATTTTTTGGCTATATCACTGCAAAAATACTTCTCGCTTTAACCGTTCCAACCTGACGATTTGATTTAACCGTCAGATAACTTGACTCTTAAAACGTCAGGTTATGAGTCATCCTTTAAGATACAAATCCAACCTGACGTTTTATCCGTTCCAACCTGACGCAGAAATGACGATTTTTTACGCTTTTTCCGTCAGGTTGCGCAACCTGACGGAAAAAACATTAGGTCAGGTGACTCTTCTGTGATTGAATAGACAGAAAAAACCCCGACACTTAGACCGTCAGGTCGTGCAACCTGACGGTTTAAGCGTCAGATTTCTCTCATCGAATATATTAAAATGAATTATACTTTCTTTTATGCTGAATGTTTTATCATTAACTTTACAGAAGCAAAGATCGGAACTAAAATTTGATTTTTCAATTAAAATGTATAGAAACTTAGCAGTAGAAGTAATGTGTTATAAAAACCGCTTAAGGTTATTATTATGGAGTGGGACATGAACTATGTTCTCTACAACTTTGAAGAATGTTCCATGTAAGACTCACGAGATATTCAACTTTTAAAAATGAATTATGTTTGAGTTTTATCTCAGTATTTTAAACTTGGATTCTGATAAATACAACTTCCTATAGAATTTCTTACATTCTTAGTTCGATTATGATCATAAAAAGCCGCTTTTCCAAATTTTTATATGGTAGCTGAGGCCGCCGTTAGTATGGTGCCGTCATCATTAGTAGCTAACTTGCCGATTGTTTTTTTTCCGACGTAACAGTTTTGTATGGTGCCCTACAAAAAAACATTTTATCGGCACTGGTTGTGCGCACCGGTGCCGAATAATTTTTTTGCTGGGTACCGATGCGCATCGGTGCCAGAAAGAATGTAAAAACCTCGCACCAATGCTGAAGTTTTGTTTTCAATCACCATTTTGTTTTGTCAATTTCTGTTTATATTAACAGTATACTTTTAATATTTCGAATGTCTTTCTGACTTCATCTTTTCCTTCTCATAAGAGAAGTGCCGAGGCAATGCCGCATGGATTTGGCATGTCAATGTGAGACTGATCAGTACCGCATTCTAATACAAAATTCATAAAAAAACTAATTAAACTGATTAAATAAATTCCAGTGCAGCACTGATTTTTGCCAGTGGAAATTTTTTTATATAGTGGTCTCATGACATGAGATATGAAAAAGTTGAATATCTCGTGAGTCTTACATGAACATTCTTCAAAGTTCTAGAGAATATAGTTCATGTCCCACTTCATAATAATAACCTTAAGCGGTTTGTCAAAAAAAGGGAGAAAATGTTGTGAAATTCATCGCGGTGCTCATCAATTTGCACTAAGAGTGTCGCCGAATCGGATAATTTTGCTGGGTCAGTAAAAGTCATTTTTCTCGGGCTCTGCACCAGCGAAAAAGTCAGAAAAACAGTTTCGTACGTAACTTGATGTGCTCTATAAAACTAGATTGATTTTAAATGAAGCAGAAAAACATTTGTAAAATGTGGAACACTTCCAATGGATTTGCCCAGATAAGATGCAATTTAATAGAATTCACAAAATCTACATTAAAAATTTAAAACCGCCCATAACTCAGTGGTTAAGCATTTTCAAGGTTGGTGGACTTCACAGGCAGCTTCAATGTGCTTTTAATATACAAAATCGCGACATTTTGAAAAAAATTCAAAGGATTTCTTAAACTTTTTTAAAAGTGTGTATTTTCTAATGTTTCTGCCTGGAAACGGCGTAGCAAGATTCCGATCAGAAGTGGCAAGATAAGAATCTTGCTGCAAACACTTTCTTGCCTCGACAGATAAGATAACGCTATGAGAGCCTTGTCTACCGATACAAAACAGTGATTACAGACGAGGTTGAAGAGGAAAAGATGGGCAAGTCTCTTGTCTGCAAAGGCAAGGAACAAGATTCTTGTTTGTGGAATCACAAGTTTTTCAACTAGTAGAGAAAAATCTATAAGTGGAAATAGGCTGATAAAACGTGAATTCATCGCTCAACAGGAGCGACTATCATGTAGTTTCATGAAGTGGCTACACTCTTATATTTTCTTTTATAGATATCCATTGATTATCAAAGAATTTATAAAGAGTTACTCTCTCTCTCTCTATTTTGAACTTCGGGCACATACTCGGCTGCGAAATATAATTCTTCACAAGGCAATAACTGCTTGCCCTTGATATTTTTTTCCAGGAAGGATAATTGCCCTACTGGTGGCTCGCCAATGATAAAGCCCGCCGTCGAATAATAACGCAACCGGGTGAATCAATCATTGTAACGGAAGTAGAAATTTGGGTTCGTGATTTGATATCTCGATTCGCCACTTTCGACTTTGATAAAGATTGTAGATAGCAATATGCTGACCAGTTTCAAATTTGTTCATTTGAACTATATTGTTTAGCAAGTTCAAAACAAAAAAAAATTTAACTTTCCAGTTCTTGCTACAAGAGAAGATCTCCGAAAAACCTTGGTCGTTCCAGTAAAAAATCTTGATCTTTCAGCGAAAAATCTCTGATCTCCAAAAATAAAATTTTTTCTTTTATCAAAATAAGTTTTTATATCGAGTACAATGTGCTCTATTCGATGCGTGCATTGAATAAAAATTCCAATTATCGCAGAATTTTTTATAAAAATGATCCCAAGGCCTGTAAGCTTAAAATCCAGGTTTTCCAGATTCCATTATGAAAGTCAAAATGAAAGAAAACTGATATTAGCATTGAATTCGTGGATAACCTCTAGGCTCCGGCGTATAAGTTTCAACCTCTTTGTTTAAGCACTTTTTCTGTTATTTGGAATTCCTCTCATTGTGTACCGCACTATGCATATAGAAACACTTTATTAAAAAGTACGACCATTATTAACATTTTCTAATTTTTACTTATGCTGCGAGCTCTAACTCTGCTGCATAGACCGAAATATGACGGATGCAAAATGCAGTTTTCTATACATGCTATTTTTAGCAGTTTTTAGGGCTTTCCAAGTCCAAAAGGAAGTATTATCTAGTCAAAAAATTTTGGGAATCTTCCTAAATGTGTTGCCGCTATCTACTGTCAGAGTTTGATCGGGAAAACTGAACATTAGTTGAGCAGCTTAGGCAAGGGGGAAACAGCAGAATTCCAGCGGGAGAATTCAAGAACAGTCAAGAAAATTCTTCGGGCTCAGCGAAGTCACAAAGAATACCAAAGAGCCTCCAGGAGTACAACAAAATTTGAAAAAAATTGATTGTCTGTGGAACGGAGCCCAGATTGCAAAAGTCACAAAATCTGCTGTTTCCCCTTGCGCTTAGGTCAGGCCTACCGTGCAACGGCTCGGCTCTTAAGGTTGCTAGTGGTGATTTTCCACATTTTCTCATCTATGGTCCAAATAGTGCTGGCAAGAAAACACGTATTACATGTGTATTGAATGAATTGTATGGAAATGATGGAATACAATCACTGAGGCTTGAAAGTCATCAGTTTACAATCCCACCAAATAAAAAAGTTGATATTACAACAATTGGAAGTCATTTTCACTGTCAAATTAATCCAAGGTGAGGAAGAATCAGTAGTGACTGGACATCTACAAAATACATTCTGTTTGTAATGTTTGCGATTCCTAAAATTGGTTTTCTTTTTGCTCTTCACCCTTCTTTTCTGCGAAATATGAGTTTCATGATCTGTCGGATTAGAAGTTGTAGAACAGGAGCCAGTTTTATAAAAAAACGTAAGTCTGACTTAAGTCAAAAAAGACGAAGAACTTTTTGACTTTTAGTTTTTTTTATAAAACTGGCTCCAGTTCTGGAAATTGTAGAAAACATTTCCTGGACACTGAATACTGACAGTTGAAGGTTATTATTTTCAGAAACGCAAATTTACAAAGACCTTTTTGCCGTGTCCGACAACAGAAGAGAAAAAGAATTTTTCTTTTGTCTGTGAGTGTTTTTCAAATTCGTTTGAAAAAGGACTGAAATAAGGTGATATATACCGAGTAATGAATTCTTTTCTGTCAGCAGATGCACAGTCTGTCGACATTGCAGTTTATGCCTGACACAATTGCTCTCTAGCATTATATTATTCTTCTTTTACTAGAAGAGTGTACAATTATTCGATTTATATTTTCCTACATTTATTTATAATATTACATTACCACCCGAATTAGCAAAACGTATTGCTAAAAAATCAAATCGTAATTTACGTCGTGCACTATTAATATAATAAACATGCGCTACACAAAAATTTGTTCTTAACAAATAACTAATTAATTCAATTCATCCCTATCATCTCTTTACGGTGTTCTTTAGGTCGACACTTACACCAGATCAGATGATATTAGAACCAGATTGGGAAGTTTATTTACGGAAAACGGCCCGTATGATTGCTGAACAGCAGATACCACAGCGGTGAGCTTTTTGTGTTAAAAAGATGTTCAGGAGTAGAAGGATCTGGAATTTTATTAAAACTCCTTTATTTTCTATCTTATTATTCTAGAATATTAGAACGTTTGTATGAATTAATCTCACATTGTATACCATCAGAAGTTATATTTAAAGTAAATCTTGTTTATCTCTCTCTATTTTCATTGCGCAATATAGTAAGCATATGTGTTATCGTTCTAGGAATTATTAGAAGAATTGCTAGGTAATTGTGATGGTATATTGAATAGTCAAATAACACAGATTGCAGCTGAATATGAACGTCGTTCACGTCAAGGTTCAAAAGATATATTTCATTTAGAAGTATTTGTTGCTAAATTTATGTTAGTTTATAAACAATTTATAGAATCAACAGTAAATTATCTGGATGATATTTTTTAGAAAAAAAAAATTTTTCGTCACTTTTTACTTTTCATCATCTTTCATAAAAACACTAGCCAAATAACCTAGATATTTTTTGCTTAATTCTTATTTAGCATCAATGTCCATTTATTTTGACGAGAACACTTATTTTTTTTGTACTATTTTTGTGAAAAGAAAGAGAAAAGATAGGGAGTTTGAAAGACAACAGAAACGACATAACTTTCATTGTCCTATACGTTATGAAGAAGAGGAGCAATAGTATTGAACGAAGATTATATTATCAAATAAATAGCCCGTATGAGTTTACATAGAAATTTCTTGACAGTTTTTCAGTTCATACAGATATCAAACAACAACAATCAAAAAAATTTTTCGGTCATCCCACGTAATGGAAGAGTTTTTTGTCGAATTTTCTGTGATACTATGGAAAAATAACGAAAACTACACCGTAAAAAAATTGGAATTATCGTACAATTGCGCACTATTTGTAGTCTCTGATACGATAACATTCACTTTAGGATCAAAGAACATTTCCAAAGCAAAGATAAAAAGTTTAAAAAACAGCGTGAAACCTTATTCCATTAGGGATTTTTTTTTGCGTTATAAAATCAAATTTCAACATTTTTTAAATTTTCGGTTCTTTCTACATGTAATTCTTCGGCTAGGCTACAACTTTCATGACGAAAGTTTTTTGGTAGAACTCGCAGTTGCGCAGATTTTTGGATTTCTCCCTTCACTCCTCAAAATTCTATTCCTTTTTGAGTTATTCCGTTACGGGCCAATATTTCGGTTGTAACTTAGAAAAGAAAACATTAAATCGAATGACATTTTCGGAATGACTAGAGCAACTCGGTTTACATGTTTTCCCGAAAATTTCAGCTTTATCTCTTTTGATTTGGCTGAGATAATAGAAAAACAAAATGAATTTCATTGAAACTGTACTTTATGGCTGTAATACATGGTAAACAATAATATGCACAAAACGAAGTTAAGATTGCTAGTTGGAGTTCGAGAAACTTTGATACACACAAAATATGTTAGGATTTAATAGTGCACAGTATATAAAAATTTAAAACGTAAGTTGAATGCAAAATACTCATTTTCGACGATATGAGGTGTGACAAAATAACTGTTAATTAGTTATTGTAGACGACACCATGCGAAAACTGAGAGGATTCATTCGACAACTAGCTGTGTAATTAGAAACTGAGAAACAAAGAGATAAATTCGATCAAACCAAGGCATCCATATGTTTATGGATTTCGAAATTTCACGTTGATAGTAGAGATCTATGAATAAAATATATGGATATCTTGGTTTGATCAATAAATTCAATAGTCGAAGAAAAAGCATCCATTAAAGTTTTTCTCACTAGGCACTGGCCTCGATATCATTTACATTTGGCACTAGTTTATTGAATGATTTTTCAAGGAAGCTTCTATTTTTGCTTCGTCAATTTATGCAATAAAATGAAAGAGAAATCAGAATTGGGCTGCGAGAGGTCAGTTTTTAGATGTTAATTGGTTGATGCTTTGACCAACTATGATTTGATCCAGTAGAAAACATTGTGCTGTTTTAGCGTAACTTGAAAAAACGATTAATTAAAGAATTAATATAAATCGAAAGAAAGCACCACGTTCAGTTATGTTTGACGACTTAAACTCGTTGTTCGACATTGAGTCATCAAATCCATCACCGTCAATATTGTTAACAAGCTATAATTTTGATTCAAATGCAATCTTGCAACATTTTGTATCGTATTCGTTGAAGAAATCTCGACCATGTGTTTATGTCAGTTTTCTTACATCATTTAGTCATATAAAACACGTACAAACTAAATTTGGTCATTCTCTTAAACAATTACAAGATTCAAGCAACTTTATCTTTATCCCATTATTTTTGACAGTAAAAGAATTTTTGATAGGAGATAAAAGAAACGATAATGTTTTGAATCGGTGTTTTTCGAATGATGGATCATTAAGATATTTATGTGATTATATAAAAGATTTAACTCAAAAGATAGATGACCAAAATTCAGTTGTGATTTTAGAAGACATAGATATCTTACGAAATATAGGTTTTAATGATGCACAAGTGCTATTGTTTGTTCGATATTTAAAAAATGCTTTTAGAAAAGCTTTATTTATCACACAAATATCTATTCCAGAAATAAATGTCGATGGTGATAATAACGACACAACGACAATTATTCAAATGTTAAAACGAATTCATTCCAAAGAGTTGTTTATTAGCTCCTTGTTAACTGGAGCAACGAAAGATATTAGTGGACAAGTAAGTGTATCGAGAAAACGATATCGATAAGGAGAAATCTGCACATCTCGCTAAAAACTTCATAATACATTGCACTACTAAAAAACTACTTACTCGAGGCAGAGTTAGCCACATATAAAAAAGTTAAATAGTTTTAAAACCATAACCAGTTTTTGTTTTGTTTTTTCTCTAGCTAACATATAGTGCTGAATCAAAATCTTCATCGCATTGGACAAATATGATTATTCGTCGTTGTTTATTTAAAATATCGGATCGTTCATTTTCCCTTATAAATAGCGCCGTGTAAAATAAATCTGTTAATTTTTTTTGGTTTTTCTTATAATAAACAATTTCTCAGATTTGTTTATTGTATTAGCTTGGCCTTTCTCTGTATTGGATGCATCGTTTCTTCGGTGAATTATGAAAGGTGATAAACTATTTTTCAAATCAACCCTTTAATGATATTTTAAAATAAATTATTTGAGAATGTAAATACGTCGTGATGTGAATATCTACGCTAAACATGTTTGTGTTCATGTTCATTCGATATACTACCCCATAAAAAAAAAATTTCAGTGCGGCACTGTCAATGCACATGGCATGTCATTGGCACTGACTGGCACCAGTGCTGATATATATCTGCCAAAAAAGTGTCGCACTAAAATTTATTTAATCAGTTTAATTAGTTTTTTATTATGGTTGTTTATCCTGAATTTTGTATTAGAGTGCGACACTGATCAGTACCACATTAGCATGCCAAAACCATGCGGTATTGTCTCGATACTTCTCTTATGAGAAGGAAAAGATGAAGTCAGAAAGACATTCGAAATATTAGAAGTATACTGTGGTGTGAATATAGACAGAAATTGACAAAACAAATGGTGATTGAAAACAAAACTTTGACACTGGTGCACACCGGTTTAGTCTTTCTGGCACCGGTGCGCATCCGTG